ACAAAAGTTGTGGGGAATGAGCTCAGCTTCAATTTCCAGGAGAGAAAAATGAGAAGGGACCATTATAACCGGAGATATTTCAAAAAAACTGAAATTTAGTCAGTTTTTGGGTCCTATCTCCAGTTCTAATTGTCCTATCTCATTTTTCTCTCATGGAAATTAAAGCCGAGCTCACTCCCCACATTTTTTGTCTTGGTCAAATTCATTTTTGACGGAAATTGACGGAGATAGTACCCAAAAACTGACTTTAATGACTGAGATCTTAATCTCAGCTTTTTGGAAATATCTCCGGTTCTAATGGTCCTTTCTCATTTTTCTCTCCTGGAGATTGAAGCTGAGCTCATACCCCGCAACTTTTGTCTCGGTCAAATTGATTTTTGACGGAAATTGACGCAGATGTGGCCAAAAAACCAAAATTTCCCAAATTCATTCAGAAATCCTGTGGTGAGGAGGGTCCTATGGACGTTGCGGACCAATGGGCCCCGTTTGTGAATTCAATTGGGGTCACTTAACATAAAGAAACGATCCCCGCCGGTTTTGGGGGTGAAAAATTTTTTCCTCGAAAAAAATTGAAGGTTTCCATTTTTTTCGATGAAAAAATTTTTCACCCCCAAAACCGGCGGGGATCGTTTCTTCATGTTAAATGACCCCAATCGAATTCACAAACGGGGCCCATTGGTCCCCAACGTCCATAGGACCCTCCTCTCCACAGGATTGCTGATTGAATTTGGGAAATTTTGGTTTTTTGGTCACATCTCCGTCAATTTTCGTCAAAAATCAATTTGACCAAGACAAAAGTTGTGGGGAATGAGCTCAGCTTTAATTTCCAGGAGAGAAAAATGAGAAAGGACGATTAGAACCGGAGATATTTCCAAAAAACTGAAATTTTAGTCAGTTTTTGAGTCCCATCTCCGTCAAAAATGAATTTGACCAAGACAAAAGTTGCGATTAAAAATCGCGACATTTGGATCTTAAAAATCGCGGCATTTGGTTCGTAGAATCAGAGCCGAATTTTTCTAGTGTACGTGAGGAGATGAGAAGGCGCGTGCGCAGCATGCGCTGCCGATCTCGTAAATGATAAAAAGGTACAAAAGATACGACACGTCCACGGACTAAAAACGAAGATAAAAGAATGATGAGAAAGGAGAGACGATCGCAGATGAATATAGTTGAGAGGGAGGAAATTGATCGGATATCGTTACTTTCAGCTTCTAGACTTTCATCTAATAAATTCCGCAGTGTTCCTCTCGTGCATGAATTTTTTGAAGTACGAATATTTATGCCACACTTTATTACCCACCAGTATGACAACATTATGATGCATAATCAGGTCTAAATAGACAAGTCAATACACAGATAAATAAATGAGTAATAGGGGTATTATCAAAAGAAAATAACTTCCCTATTCATGAAGCTAATGATCTAAAAAAAAAAACATGAGGAAAAAGGGTCTAAATTACACACATTTAAGCTCGTGTTTGTTGTTGATGGGTTTTGGTTTGTTCTTTTCGGTTGTTTTTGCCGCCTACCCCTGCAGTAGGTCGAGTACCACCGAACACTCCTGCTGGGCGAATAATCTCATTCATTTGAGAAAGGCGTAATTTCGCAACTAAAAAAATTCAATAGGTCATTTTGACGAGAATAATAAAAGTGCATTCAGCACCACGTCTTTAGTTTGGGACGTTTGGGATTTGAATAAAATAAATCAGCGGCATCGTTATGTTGGGAAAAATAACTCCAGAACATGGAATACAGTGGACTAAATTGGGAACTTGGATTATATTCACGTGGCCTCCGAACTCGAAAGCAACCCGACTTACAAAGATGAGTTTCCAAATTGGCTGGTGGATTTCGTTGTTTTTTACGATAATATCCCTTCCTTTTGGATTCGACACAGCATGGGCCCTACGTGAAAATACTCTGATGCTCGTTGAAATATTGTGTCTATACATTTGTCTCATCCAAGTTGTGGCGAAAATGGTCATCGCTAAACTTAATTATCACAAATTTCAGGTGAGCATTGGTAAACGGCAAAAAAATATTCAAATCCGAACGTGTTTTTGTGTATTTAGCCCTTGAAATTGTTGTTACGTTCAATTTACAGTATTTAATGGAAAAGATGGAGACATTCGTTAAGAATGCAAACCCCCACGAACGACAAGTACTGATAACTTGCGTGAAACGAATCGCTCCTTCTCATTTGAGCTATAATATGCTGTGTATTATTGCAGCTCTGCTATATGCATTGGCTCCTTTTGCAACGGGCCAGCCATTCCCCACTGTAACCCAGTTTCCCTTTCCCACGGATAAGCATCCTACTTACGATATGATTTTCTTTTTGCAAGCCATAAACGGCTTCCAATGTTGCGCCTCGAACTTTTTCGATTCTCAATTGAGTATTCTTCTTTGTTATGGCACAATCCAACTTGATATTCTCGCTGAAAAAATGAGAAACGTCAACAGTGTTGAAAAACTCAAAGAGTGTATTTCCACACATCAGGATATACTGCGGTAAATAGATTGTTTTCCATTTTCATCTGTTGACAACAGGAATCCTTACAATTCATGATTTACGTTATACATTTAAACAATTTCGTCTCTAAGGTACGTTGACGACACCATCAAAGCCGTACGGCCAGTGGTAATAACAACAGTCATAACGGCCACGATTAGCCTTGCATTCGCAGGAATCCTTATAATCGGAGTGAGCACATCCTCTGTGGATGATTTTTATTTGAGACTGATTGATTCTGTTTACCGTAGAATGGATCAATCGTTCACAAAATCGAGTTTGCGGGGATTATCTTAGCCTACTCCTGCGAACTTCTCTGCTTTGCGTGGGCTGCAGAAAGCTTGACAACAGCGGTAAGCTATTGTTACGGGTGAATCTATTCATTTCATTTCTACAGTCATCTCTTATCTTATGACTCAGTATGAACAAGTTGGGTGGGCGCTGTACAGCTCTACATGGATTCAGAATTCGAAGGAGTTCAAGAGAACTGCTATTTTCGTGATGCACAGGTGTCAAAAACCTCCGGCCATCCGATTCGGGGGACTCATGCCTAAATTATCTATGAGTTATTATGCATCGGTACGAGAAAATTTGTTATATGAATGAGAACCGACACTAGGGAGATCAGTGATTTGGCAGCGATGATTTTTTTTCGGTTTCAGTACATGTCAGCAACATATTCCTTCTTCAATGCAGTACGTGCCACGCTGAAGTAATTCGAGGACGAGTCATCGTTCATAATTCATGTGCTTAGCCTACACCTTATTAATATCTCCCGCTTTCTGCTGATATCTGTCTATATTTTCAATTCCATACTCGAAGAAAAGAAAAAAAATCGGCCATGTAATCCTCAATGGATGCAAAAACTGTAAAATTGTAAATATAATGATATAATAAGGTCGAAAAGCTGCAGCCATCATCAGATTTCGTTACTTCTACTGTAGGACATGAGTGGAGAAAAATGCGGATAACGGCAATGGAATTGAATGCACGTCAATTTAGAAGAATAACGCAAGTAGTTTTCAAGATATCTCTGAAAAAGAAGTGATTTCAATGTTCACCTACATCTCCTGAGGGTTCGGTATATGTTTGTATTTCTGTCATGTATGTCTGTGTCTCCGCTGGTATTTTGTACTTGACTATGTATTCTTCTAGACCTCAATGGGCACTAGTGCAAAGCGTTAATAAACTAATTTAATTGTGTTAAATTTTGATTGAGTGTTTGTGTTTTTCATGCCCATCGAATGAAACGCGCTTCAAAAAAATGAAGCGCAAGTGCAAAATTAAAGGTGCTTCAGGCCCCTAAATGAGGTATTTTTACTTCTTCGGTTGTGATTCAGATAATAAATGTTTCAACGAATGAATATATTCGAGTTCAATACAGGGTCTTTAATGCATACTTTATAATGTGCGTACGGAGAATCATTTGAACTAGATTTGTTTCGATTTTTCTATCAAAAAAAGAACAACGTATCATCTTTCCGATTGGTATTAAAATATTCAAAGCTATTGGTTTCCAACCGCCTCTAATTTTTTATTCATATGTGCTTTTATTAATTATGAGTATTATTTACCTGTCGACTCCGAAACACTTTCGAAGCTACAGAAACGTCGAAAATAAAAAAAAACAGGGGGAGACGCAGGAAATGACTCAAATGCGTAGTTCGATAGTTCGGATGCAGTTGTTTTCGTGCTAATCGAATGAACCTGACAGTGACGAGACGCGTACTAGTGCTCTCGATATAATAATAACTCTGTTGAATTTACGATGAACCAAATTCCAAATGCACGGGGGAAGACTCCATTCAGGAGATTATGACGCGAAAACGAATCCGTAGCAAAGCGGTTGACTACCACCAGTTTTCAATGAATATCTCAAAATCTAAGGGAGATAGCCAAATTTTTGTTAGGACCTTTTTTGTAGCACTTAATTCGCTCTACAAGAAAGGTCATGACGAAAATTTCGCTATCTCCCTTAGATTCGGAGATGTTGCTCGAAATCTCAGCTAAGGGCTAAATCGACGTAAACCGTTTCGCTACTGGAATATTTGTTCGTTCGCAATGAATTTTTCTATTTCCGCTCCACGATAAATTCGAAGAATGTTAACATTCTCGAAGAAGCATTCCACTGCCATCGGCTGGAGAATCCTCGCTATTTCTAGAAAATTGTAAATTTCGTTTTTAAATTTTCTCGAAATTTGTCGAAAAAAACGCATTCTCACCACGCGGATGTGAATTATCGCTTGCAATTTTGGATTGTGTCCAATGAAAATAGAAAATATGGGCAACACGTCGAGCCTTTGATCACAGCAATTGTTTATCGTCAATCACGTTTGAGTGGAAATTCAGAAATCAATAGCGAGCTTGTGAAACTAACCGAAAATTTCCCCGAGAAACAAATTCGCATATCTCCTGATCAAAGAATCCGATTTCGCTGAGTCAAATCTCATTTTTAAGACGAAAAAAATATCTTGAGAACGAAAAAAAAATCGGGAAATTTCACTTTGCCGTTCGCAAGTTATTGACGATCAAAGCTGGTCCGTTTCGAAGATGAAAAAGAAAAAATTTAATATTCGCAAAAAGCAGAGGAACAACATTTCACATTCCAACGAAAAAAAAAGAATTCCTCATGAGCCTTAATATAACTTCTTCGAGTGTTCCACGTCTCGAACGTTTCAATATCAACAAGTATTTTCGAATGCGTGGGCGTCGGCAAATCCGTCCAATCCTAGATGAAAGCTGAAAAGCCGTTCCAACGATGTTATTGAATGAATGGGTGGGAGAACGTCTCGTCGTTCCTGGAAGAATTTTGGAAGTTCAACGAGTCCTTCGCGGTTAGTTGAGTCGAAAGCTCGGGCGTCAAGTGGCCATCAACTCCCGCAAGCCCGAAAGTTCAATAGTGCCTATCGATAATTTGATTCAGAATAATTCGCACAAATGATTGCGAAGGCAGCGCACGAGACCCAGAATCTCCTCACGACTTATCTGATCCTGTTGGTCCTGTTGATATGCCTGTGGGCGCTCTATTCAGGGATTTATTAATCTGAGGGAGAGGAATGACGGTGGACTAATGACAATGAAGAATTTTTCATGACGATGGTGAGTCTTGGATTATTTTTCACAATTTTTTTTGCGAATTTACGGAGAATTCGCGAAAAATGACTTTTCTTCATCTCTATTATACTCGAGAAAATGATGAAAGGTCAAGTTCTTAAGGGTCTAATGGGAGAGCCGAGTGGAGTGATCATTTGGCACTCTTGACCCCTTCGCCTGTCTCTCCCATTTGACCCTCAAAAAATTTTGACTCTTCTAATCACTTCGCTCGTCTCTCCCCTTTGACCATCCCAACCCACCTGTCTCTCCCGTTTCACCCTCATAACCCCTCCGCCTGTCTCTCCCATTTGACCTTTAAGCAAGTTTCATCACTTCGTTCATGTCTCTCGTTTGACCTTCTTGACCCCTCTGCCTCTCTCCCATTTGACCCTCACGAAATTTTGGTTCTTCTGATCACTTCGATCATCTCTCCCATTTAACCCTCCTCGTTCCTCGCGTGTCTCTCCCATTTGACCTTCAATAAAGTTTGACCACTTCGTTCATCTCTCTCATTTGACCCTCTTCACCTTTCCGCCTGTCTCTCCCATTTGACCCTCAATAGAGTTTGATCACTTCGTTCATCTCTCCCGTTTGACACTTCGTCTCTCTCTCCCATTTGACCCTTCCCACCCCTTCGCCGGTCTCTCCCATTTGACCCTCAGTAAAGTTTGACCACTTCGTTCAACTCTCCCGTTTGACCCTCCTCACCTTTCCCCCTGTCTCTCTCCCATTTGACCCTCAATAGTTTGATCACTTCGTTCATCTCTCCCGTTTGACACTTCGTCTCTCTTCCATTTGACCCTTCTCACCCCTTCGCCGGTCTCTCCCATTTGACCCTCAGTAAACTTTGACCACTTCGTTCATCTCTCCCGCTTGACCCGCTTGACCCCTCCTTCTGTCTCTCCCATTTGACCTTCAAACAACGAAATTCCCTCCCGCTCATCCATAAATATTCTCTTTTTACTCTAATCGTTATTTTCTGCTCGCACTCGTCTAAAATCACAATTTATCAATTCCAAATGTGTTTTCATGTGCATCCGGTGATTAATAATGTTCGATAAATATTCCAGGGGTATAATGCAAGGCAACAACGACCTCCGTGTGCCGCTGCAATTATTCGTATGTCCATGGCGACTCCACGAGGACCAATGCAACATCCAGACACTAGTATTTGCATAAAAAAACTCCGGAATTGTCGGAAATGAATGGTTTTATCTGTTGTTATTTTTATTTCCTCACACCCCGAGTCAATGTGGGCTTGGATCACTTGTGCGCGTGTTTACGGATTTAGGTTGTTCTATGGAGTCAAGGGAAAACGCTTACGCAATTTTTAATGTTACGTGTTGAATATTGAAGATGAAAGAAATGTTGATGTTGTGATGACGTTTGGCGGAGGTTTGTTATGAGTTTATCAATGAGTAAACTGGAATGAGTCTCTATTTACATCAATTATTTCTTGTTTTCATCACCCAAAATCAAAATAAAAAGTAAACAATTAAATGATAATTTGGGTTTAGACCTGAGTTTTTGAAAATGTTCAGATTCTCATATTTTCGGAAACTGTTTTCATTTTTTTTTTTATAAAAAAATCTTTATTAAAAATTCATTCATTTTCCGAAAATTTTTATTTCAGTCATTTTTTGTGGTCCCGGGACAAAAAACATTTTAAAATAATCTCCGAGATTTACGTGATATCGAAATTCACAAATTTTTCGTCACGAATGGGTGAGAGAATCGAAAATAGCCAGGATGGTCTCCAGTTGACGTTGGGTGGGCCACTATGGGCGCGAGATAGCGGATATTTGGGGGGTTTAGAGTAATCCAAAAATAGAGGCCTGAAATTTCGGTGATGAACCACCTGGACAGTATCGCAGGCGTCAGGGTGTGGCTAACGATTTTGTTTTCTCTCAAGTCGATCGATCATTCATCATGTTATTCCGCAAAGGCTCTCCATGTCATGTTTATGTCTAATACATTCAAATTTATTCCTGGGATTGGGTGAGGGCGGGGGGGGGGGGGGGGG